ACCAGATATTTCTGTTTTCTCTAATCCCATAAATCACAATTCATCATGACCCACTGTGTTCAGTACACAGGCGCATTTGGAGAGAAGGACTACTAGCAGTATCAACATCTCCTTGTACAAAACAAAACAAAACAAAACAGAATAAACAATCCAGCAAAGCCTCAAATTATACCTTTATTATATTTGTGTTTCTATCAATAACTCATGATCAATCTGATTGAAAATACACTCACACCACAGATTGTGTCCCTCATTTATACAACTACAATGTTTACTAGCACCAATGCGAGTGGCTAATATTTAACTAAGAAAAGAGGCAAAATCCTTTTTATATACAGGAAAAATACAAGTGATTAAAAAATCATACAAATTAACATTCCTCAAACTTAATGGACTACACCCTACCACAAATCCAATTGCATTTAGACTTGGAATCAAATGTCCCATATTGATGTCAATAAGACTCCAGAGACTATGACAAAGATAAAACAGGAAAACACTAAAGATCCATCATTCTGACATTTCCACTGTAACCACCTGCATCACTTAAGTAGTAAGTCTTAAGTTTAAAGGGAAAATCTCACAAGGGTTTTAGCAATGACACCACACACAAATTTAAGTAGTTATCACCTCCTTCCTCTCAGAACTTCTCCTTGTTTTTCATGTTCATTTATGGGATCTGGAAAAAGGCAGTGTGTAATTTAGCTGCTTTTCAGGAACCATCCCATGAGGGAGGCCTAAAATAACAACTATACAATTACTCCAATTGTACAAGCAATAGGAACATGTGAATATTTTTAGTGTTGTCAATATGTGGTCTAGGAGACATGCTTCAAAATCCCTCAAGATATTGTAGAAAGTAAAATCTTTTGATTGAACATTTCAGATGTACTTAAATCAAGCTCTGCTACTTGGAGTGAACAAATGTGTTTGGCTATATCTGGGGGGACACAACATCTTTGACAGTAAACAGAATCTACAGTTTGCAAGACAAGGAAGGTAATGAAGGTCTGATTTAAACAGTATCAGAAGAAGTGTTTCTCTTTGTACCAAGAGCTCTACTTGATTTCAAGATTTGGGTACATAACATTAGCCACATAAAAAGCCAGATAAATAGGAAATATCGATTGTGGCCCTCTAGTTACTCAAAAGTAGTAAAAGATCAGAATATTAGGCATGCTTAATCTTAATATGAATATGTATTTCATAGATATATACATATTCATGCACCACTTCTAAATACATGTTCATAGAGAATTCTTCATTTGCATTTTCCCTATAGATTTTCCAGTCATTTCCATGTACCCGCATAATGACATATGCAACTTTTTGCAGGAGTAGCAATGTTGGTCTGTTTCAATAAAATAACAAATCTTGATGCAACTTAAAGACTGAGAAAATGTAGTTAGCATAAGCTTCTGTGGGTTCCAGTCAAGTAAATCTTGTCACTCTTTAAGATGCCACAAGATTGTTTGTTATCTTGAATGCAAATATTAAAAGTGCATATTCTAATATACTATGAAAAATGCAGGTTGAGAAAAAGAATAAACTAGCTGCCACATATTTTAATTCTTCCCTCACCCCATAATGCTGTGTTTACTGCAAGGTCAGTTAAGTTACTATAAGGGATTTTTAATGAAAACAATTATAAATTTAAAATAACTGTGTTTAAAGCATTTAACAGTCACTGGGGTCAAGTGATTACAGCAGTTACAAGACCCCTGGGATATGTTCGCACCAAAACAAAGTGAATAAATTACCTCGACCAGTGTGCGTAATCACTAAGTGACCACAAAGGTCACACAGTGTACAAGCCCAGATGACTTTCATGCAAAAACCAATAATAAAAATTTATCAGTTAGGTAGAAGACAAAGAAAAGAAATGTAAAGCGGTATTAGCTACTATATAGCAGGTAGACTGGATGCACAAGGCTGCTGGGCTTAGTTTAATGGATGGCAAAGGAAAATTTGATGGCAGAAGGAAGAAATGTTAATTAGTTACAGTGGAGATCAAATTTCCTCACCTATACCACTAAAATGTTTGCCACTAAAATGTATACCACTAAAATTATTGCTTATTATTATTATTATTATTATTATTATTGTTTCTTGTAATCCAGACACCAGACTGAAATATCTTTGCTAAGGAGACTTTAAAAAAGAAGACAGTAGTCTTCAACTGAAAGACAGTAGTCTTCTATGATATAATGCATGATAAAGCAGACAAGCTCTCTGTTATTGACTATGATAAAATGCATGATAGACGATGATATAATGCGTGATAGAGCAGACAAGCTCTCTGTTATTATAGAAGGAAAGGTAATAATCCAAGGGCAGAAAAGAAGCAGATTTGGTCTACACATTAGAAGAAACTATCTAATGATTGACACTGGAACAGGCTGTCTTGGAAGGTGACCAGCTTGCTTGCATTTTTGTATTTTGCATTTATCAAGAGTGAAGGCCATCTGCTAGGCATGCTGTAGCTGCATCCTACACTGAAAATCAGGGTATGAATTAGGGAATTGGCTTGGATCATTTCTAACATCCCTTAAACTCTGTGACCCTCAGAAAAGGACATCCTCTGCCTGTGACAATAAACAAGTACAGTGAATAGTGTGCATCTTATGAAGAGGACATGAAATAAAATGACTGGAGATATACACAATGCACAGGCTTCTGTTGCCATAAAAATACTTCTGGTCTGTACCTTTCTGGGATTGAATCTGGGATACTGTTGGGGACCCATTATCTAACTGTGATGGTCCAGTACTTCCTGGAAGATCCATCTTAGAAGAAGGATGTTTTTACTTCACCTTCTAACCTAAGATGCCTAGAAAGCATCAGAAGGATCCATGTGTACAATTTTTTTTTTACTGATCCATAATGCAGAAAGTACAAAGTACTTTTGATTGATAAGGGATCATGGTTAACCATGGTAATAGAATGCAGAAAAATTTAAAGAATGTTCCTTTCCCTAATTTTTTCACAGGACTGGGTGATGTAAAATAGGTCTTTAACATCTTTAGGTGTTGATGTGTAAAAATAATAAATCTGCTTATCAAAAGTCTATATAAATATGCATTACAATCTGAAGCTTTAATATTGCTCTGCATCTAAAGAAGAGGGTTTATGTCCTTGAACGTTCGTGCTAAAACAAAAACCAGTTAGTCCTATTTCCTTGCCCCATTTTAGGCTGCAAGAAGCTAACATGGCATTCTTTGGAAACTCAACTAACGTAAGCTGTCTCTCTAGCCAAGCCACAAATGATGCATTCTAACTCAGTTCCTCTATAGCTGAGCTTCTTAAACTTTTGCACTTGCTACCCTTTTCCACCCAAATTTCTTTTATGTGATATAAGTATATAAAATAGGTATAAAATCAAACATTGGCTCATACAATCAGCATTTTCAAAGTTTGCTAAACAGTTGATTTACCTTTTTTGGTACAGCTGAAGCATTTTCTGCAGAGTCCACTGTAAGCACTGCATGTTGTTGCTAAAAGATTTGTGTAAATATCTAAAACAGCCACAAGGTTCAGAAACAATTTTTCGGGGCCTCCAACATGAACTAAGGAGTTGGAACCCACAGTAAGAAGCAGTGCTTTATACTGCATCTGAGAAAAGGGACATGAAGATTTTTCCTTGTATAATCAAACTACAGCACAGAATTGAAAAGTAGTAGCATACTATGCCAAGGATGCCCTCAACATATATAGAGAGAAAGGGAGAGTTAAAAAAATTAAAATTAGCACTGTATATTATTTCTTTCAGTTCTGTGTTGCAATCAGATTTACAAGGATATATATAAGTTATATATGTATGTGTGTTAAAAATCAACTTTGTTCCAATTGCTTTTTATATACAAGGCAAGTGCTCAAACCCTTCAATGTTAAAAGAAAAGGAAAAATAATCGCAAGAAGACAACAAAGAATTTGAGAAGTGAAATGAGAACATTGGAAAAGCTTGAAGATGGTCAGTAGACAGAGAGAGGAAAGTGTCAGCAAAAGGCCAAAATATGAAAGAGCACCTATTTCCGTTTTTTAAACTTTAAAAAATCCTTTTATGAACCAAAATTTCACTTTTCTTATTTCCCCAAGGGCCTTCCAAGGGAAACCAGTGGGACTTAATGATGCCATTAGAGGCCTTTAGAGACACGGTCACCAGACACAAGCCAAGAGATTGCAATGTCACAGCCATACTGTAAAAGACTTTTTATATAATGATGCAGGTTCATTTAGACAAGTAAAACTTTTCTTTCTTTTTTTTAAAAGAAGGCCAAGTCATTCTTTAGGGTCACCTTGCCATTCTCATCTTCTTACTATCTTCTTTCTCCTTTTCCAAATAATTCTCCACCCACATACAGATGGCTTCAAAACTTCTTATGCCACAATAATGCCTGATAACATGGACATCCCTTTATCTCAACTTAGTGCAATCATTGCTGGCTTTCATTTCACTTGTTGAGCCATTATGTCAACTTATTAGTGGGGCACAAAGATCCATGGGCTGCATGGATATACTTAGCAAAATTCAACACTGTAACAGGTGCCTTGCTCCTTAGAGACTCCATAAAGCAAAAGAGGAGCCATCAGTCATCAGGAGGTTAATAATGCCTGCTCCACTTGATCTGTAACATATGTTCATCACACAGCCTCTTGTGAGCTACATTTTCTACTGCATAAAGCAGAAAACGAAGTTGCAGTTTTGCTATTCCTTTTTATACATGACCAGAATGTCACTATTATTCAGGATATTCACGAGAGGGACTTCACAGCTGCCACCATGAGATGCCAGATGATAGAGCACCAGATACCAAAAATGCAAGATCAAGCACATATATCCATGCTTAATTAACAGAATCATATTTTGAGCAAGGAGAATATAACAAGTGGCAAGGTTGCCGGGTGAGTGCTCTTCAAAGCTCTAACACAATTAGGAGGCTGTAACTGACACTTGCATAGCAAAGGTTAATTGGGGTCACCAAAATGCAGTAATTTCTTACCTAACCAGTCATTAAACTTCTTAACCTCAGAAGGCAGGCCCAACTCAGTGAAATCGCCTGTATGAAGCAAGATGTCTCCGTAAGGCATCTGGATTCCATCTGTCCTGGAGTGTGTGTCCGAGATGCAGACAAACCGTGTGTGGCCTGCTGGTTTCGGGGTGTCATATGGAATTGGATCAACCCTAGAGTGAACATAAGATACCCTGTTAAAGTTAAACTTGATACCCGTGCTGAACGCAACAGACATGATTCACTCAAAAAGTGTATGTATCACTCATTTGGAAGACTTCCATAGATTCACCAGAGCACTATATTCACAAGGCCATGAGCACAAAGGCATGTTTGGGAGAATAAGAAACATGGATACACCTTCTACATCCCCATCCAGCTATCTTATTTCATTGCGGGTTAGGTATGTTCCAAGATAGAGTATTGGATGAGGAAAGTATTGAATGAGGAAGAAATGTGCAGACATCCATTCCCTAAAAGGCCTCATCATATCACCTGAGAGCATGACAAGAATACGTATACACTGATAGGATAGGAGGGATATAAGAATATTGTAGACTTCTGGATGCATACATAGTAGATAGATAGATCTGTTTATTGATTAGTTCACTGATCATTATCAACAATAAAAGACAAGAATATACAAATAGACGCATCACTATGCTAAAACTCCTGTAATAGTTAAATAAATTAAAACAAAATAAAACTTGATTAAATAATAAGTTTGGTAAAATGGGATTAAATGACCCAGGAACGGCCTAGACGATAGAACGGATGAGGATGTGAACGAGAGGACATCATTTTTTTAACCTTTTATTATTCATTGTCTTTATGTTTCAATGTATTGTAATGTTCTTTTTGCTTTTTATCAATGTATGTATTTTATGGCATCGAGTCGCCTTTGGGCTGATAGAAATAATGTAAATAAATAAATAAACAACAAGATGAAAACAGGGGGAGGAGATTGCAAGTGTAAAAGAGTTAGTCAGAGGGGTCCCTTATCATCACCATGACAAGAGACCCCATTTTGTTAGATAAAGAGATCTCTCAGGTTTGGCTATGCAGCGAAATGTAGATTCTCCCCAGAAAGAAAATAAGACAATTTGGCAATTGGGTCCCAGTTGGTTGTTCTGTCCCAAAGCAGTATAATTAAACAGCACTGTTGGTATGAACAGAAAGAAAATATTATCTCATAAAATAAATGCTGGTTTCTATCAGTATATATTGACTAAAATGGCATAAAGACACCAAACGCCTGTTTTAATGATGTATCCCACCTTGAGCTGCGGGGAGAGGTGGGAACTGAATTTATTATTGTTGTTACTGTTATTATACTATATATTATTACCAAGAAACCATATAATATTTCTCTAAAAATCCTGATCACCCTGAATTGAAGCCATTAGAGGTTGAGTATCCCTTTCCTAAAAGGAACCACCAGTGTTTTCGATTTCAGAATATCTCTGCCTGCACACATGTATATATACTTATATATTCTGGAAATGGAATAATTAGAGTCAAAACATAAAATTAATTTATATTTCAAATTCACTTTATACACTATGAATATTTTTAATAATTTTGTGCATGAAATAATTTGTGTGTCATGTCTTAGCCAACCATATAAAGGATTTTGGGTTTTAGAGGACTTTGGGATTCTGGAGAAACAATCCTCAAACTGTGTAGCGACACTCAAATCGAATTTTCATATTTGTAATTTAATCCAGATGTGAATATATTTAAACAGAACTGATAACATTGATTTAGTGATTGCAAATCAAAAACACAAACTTTTCTCTTTGAAAATTAGTGGATAGCATGTACTTCATTAGTTGTTCAAAAGCACAAATCTTAGAAGGTAAAACATCTCCATATAAACCATGAAGTAACTGAAAACTTGAAAATAAAGTTCAAAGAAACAGCCTCTACATTTTTCTACCCATATCTGTGTGTTTTCTTTTGAAATGGCAAAAGATTATACATGTAGCCATGAATATATAATATAGGCCCTGTTGAGTCTTGCATTTTAAAGCAAAAATAATAAATATGTCCCATATAACTGTTTAGTATACCTTAACTGTAACATATAGTTCATGGATTTTCCCCATGGCCTTCTTAAGTAATTAAGACTCTTATAACAGGCAAAAGTTATTGGAACTACTAATAACCTGAGTACTAATGCCACTATACAGAGAAACATATGTTTATCTGGTGCTTATCCTTCCTTCCTATGAAATAAGAAGATTAAATTGTTTCTGTTTGATTCTCTAGGTTGTAGCTTTCTACAGCTACAACCTAGAATCACTCCAAGGACTGCTTCCTCCAGGAAACAAACATGCTTTCATTCTTTACCGAGTTGTGTTCAATCTGTCTATCTGCATTAGGAATGAATAGATTTGTTGGACCTGTGACATCCCCTTTTTCTTATAAACTTACACTGTATTTCCCTAGTTTCCTCCAGCTCATTTCCAAATCCATTTGCTATTTTCAGTTTTCAAACTCTTTTTTCCCTACAGGGAGAGAAAGGAAGAGTACTCGAAGTAGCAGATGAGCAAAGGCAATTTTCTGTTTCATGCCATAAGTGAACCAAACAGGGCAAAATATTTCCAATATATTTAGAATCCACAGCTTTTTCAAGCTAAAAATATAAAAATGGTGCCGTCACACTACTGGCCCCTTCTTCTGTGCTATCTGAAAATGAAGCTGGCATGAAGATGTTTAGCATGTCAAGATTTTCTGGCTGACATATTAGGGAATGGGGAAAAATGGTGAGTACCAGTATACCAGGCTGTTCTTCAAGCCACAAAAGCAGAAGCAGTTCTAAAATGTAATCATGTATTCAGTTTTTAAATTATAATTGTTTATAATTTTTTCCCTAAAATACACATTCTGATGCTTTTTCCTTCACTTTAACGAAAGGTCTGGTTCCTTTATGTAACAGGGCACACACATAAGCCATGGTTCCACATGTTGCCGCATGCCCAGAAGCGTCAGTTGTTATATTTAGAAGATTTACAATCCAAATGATGAAACATGAAAGCTTCCAGGCTTTGGCTCCCATTCTCTTGTAGCCTTGCAAATCTTCTAAGGAGGAGTGAGAGCCTTTCACAATGATGTGGGAAGTAATGTGGGGGAGGAATCAGCAAGTAATGATATAAATTCAACCACTTGTCTCAACTGAGATGTATCCATTGAATCAAATATTGAAAAGTAAGCCAAGACGTATATAAATGCCATCAAACTAATGGAATTTTTCTAGATACAACTGGATTTAAGCAATTGTCTCTCTCTTTCATTCACATTCATGGATGTGTCTGATGGATCCAGTGCTCTTCTGTCAATAAGAGGATCTCTGCCATACGCAGAAAGGCATCTCCGGATCCACCCAATAATCTCCATTTAACCCTAAACAGTTGTACATACCACACAAATTAAGGTTCTTATATTATATATCCAATATCCTATTTGCACAAATACTTAATACATTTTGTCAACCTCCTTTTAAGATCATTATAGTCTTGCCTGTTCTCAGTGGGAACTGCCATGAACTATACTTATATGTTCAATAATTTTTAGAGTATGCCTTTTCAGTATTTTTTGAATAGCAACACAATCAAGGAGGTATGTTTTGTGCATCAGACAAAGTGATCCTTTGAGTAATAACCCCCAGCTCCACAATGGAAACAAATGCTAGAGTTGCAAAGGAGTGAAAGATTGGGGAGCATCTTACAAACACAGTATCCCATTATCTGCCTATGATCCACCACTCAGAGTTAAAAATGGGCATAGTCATATGCAAAGACACCGACAGACCTGTTGCCTTCCACAGAAATACCTGTCTATTATTAAAATAAAATACGATATTACTGGAAAATGTATAATTTGCCATTTCACAGTTGGCAAAACAGTTTTAAAACATGTGCAAAAATATTTTTAAAATAATAAAATATCATGCCTCAAAAGGGTCTATAATGATTACTAACAGTTACTGAACACAAAAGTGATTAATTGTGGGGCTATCCTGGCAGAAATCTCTAGTCAAGAATTTCACCATCCCCCAAAGTAGCACTCATAATAGCAGCGCCTGAGGGAGTCTGCTTCCTTTCCCATTTCTTGGTCTCAGTTCATTTGTTTTCACAAAAGGAAACTCAGCTGAATAGAATGGAATTAAAAATGTGTATAGGGGTTGTGGTGTCTTCAATAAATGCGAAAAGTCAGCAGAGAAGGGCATAGTCCATTCTCTTCCCCTGTTTCAGATGTGAGACACAGCTAAGATCTTTTCAAGACTGAAAAGCCTGAAGTGGAGGGTTAAATGTTCATTTGAGATCTTTGCTTGTTATTATCTGTGATACTATACATATGTCAATGCTGGCACTGCCATTTCCTAGTGTAATATTTATTCATTCATTTATTTAACCCACCCCTGCCCCAAGGGCTAGGACAGCACCTATGACTAATAATTTGGCTGACTAAAAGATGCAGCAGGAGGATATGGATAAAGGAAAGGAAGAAGAGGGAGGGAAGAAACATTCCTAATTCATACTGCCAACAAAGAGTGTCATGGGGATGGACCAAACTCTACATGACTCCATATTTCTGGTGAAATCCTTGTGCAAAAAGAACATGTTTACACAAATAGTTTATTCCTCTAGAGGCAAATAATCTACTTACATAAATATTATTTGTTACACTCTTCCTCTTATATTGATAGTAAGTGATACTCTTTAGGTTTGATATTTCAAACACCTCCTGGTTTAGGACCACAGTTAAGGCTAACTCATATTTGTCTAAGCTCTACAAATTAAGGAAAAGGAAAGGCAAGAGGGATACCTTAATGGGTTGGCCTTATGATCAATGATGACGATGTGGAATGTCACAAATTCTGGTTGCTTATTCTCCGTGTTTTCACAACTCCCCTTGGTTTTACAGGCTGAAATGCCAACAGAGACTATGAGTGCCTGGGACCAGAAATATTTGCTTTCTTGTTTATTATTGTTATTATTGCATACAGGATCTGACACCATGCCTCAGGGTTAGATATCTGAAATACAGCTTCAGACAAACCCACCTAGTGAACATTTGAGATCTTCAACAGAGGCGTTGTTGCAAACCCCAGCACTTTAGAGGCTAGGCTGGTGATTACATTAATAGGGCCTTCCCTGCTGCAACATTT